TAAAAGTCTATATAAAGATGGGCATTTTCCTATCAGTTCTGAGTTTTTCTTTGCCATTGTAAAATAGAGAAAATACCAATTATTTCTGCTTTTATAATTATTGTGAGGTTCAATTAACATGCTTGCCTATAAAGTCCAGTATAAAAGTAAGGTGTAGTTAAAAATGGAACTCCCATTTGACCCAGTAATCCCACTTCTAGGACTATATCCCAAGAAACCAGAAACACCAATCAGAAAGGATATATGCACCCCTATGTTCATAGCGGCACAATTTACAATAGCTAAGATTTGGAAACAGCCTAAGTGCCCATCAGCAGATGAGTGGATTAGAAAACTGTGGTACATCTACACAATGGAATACTATGCCACTATAAAAAAGAAGGAACTTTTACCATTTGCAACAGCATGGATGGAACTGGAGAGCATTATGCTAAGCAAAATAAGCCAATCTGCGAAAGATAAATATCACATGATCTCACTCATATGTGGGATATACTGATCAACATTATTTGATGAACAAGAATAGATCCAGAGACAAATGATGGGGGGGGGGGGGGGGGTTAGAGAGCAACCAAAGGACTTGTATGCATGCATATCAGCATAACCAATGGACACGAACACAGGGGTGGTGGGGGGCAATTGGAAAAAAAAGGAGACATATGTAAAACTTTAGACAAAAAACAATTAAGGTGTAATTACTGTCATGTCATTGAAGTTCAGATGTATTGATTGTAAGGTATGTTAGCTTATGTATGAATCACTAGGAAAAAATGCTGCCAATTCAACTTTGACATGCCATTGTTTGTAAAAGAACCAATTTTGGATACGTTAAAATACAAAAAAAAAAAAAAGAATTGATCAGATATAGTATTATAAATTCTATTAAAGCATTTGACCCAAAACACCATAGGAATTGGAATTTGAAATTCACTTATAAATATTTAAATGCAATATTTTCATTACTAAATTGTGGCTGGTGGGTTACACGTTTATTCTGTGATAAACATTTATTTATAAAGGGATCTGTTAGGGACTTGAAGTTTGATAAAAAGCCTTCATGTTTCAGCTGATAAACATTAAATAAACATTAAAAAGTCTTCATGTTCAACTGAAGCATATATTAGCCTGGGCACTAATCCCTCCTGCAATCCAAACTCAGCTTTGCTATAGTCACACGCCTTGTTCATTAATCCTCAGAGATGCCATGTACACGGAATAATAACCCATAGCCAAGTAGTTAAACCTGGCAGGAAGCTAAGAAATACCTATTTAATAGAAAGGTTCACTGGATTATAGCAACCTTTTAGCTGGAAAATGCTGAAACATTAAAAAAAGATATAATAGATATGCTTCCAGATATTATACTTTGGTTGTTACCCTTCTACCTGACAAGCATAAGAGATAACAATACGTGGCCAGCTGGCTGACTTCTTTCATCTTTATTAGAGACACAGTTAAAGTAGGTTTAAAAGATTTAGTGAGTTTTTGATTAGCAATTTATGAAATTCTATGAGGCTTTTCAAGATATCTCATGCAATACCTTGAAATAACATGAGTAATTGTAAATGTACACGATAATGAGAGGAGGGAATGACAGTACCTGCCATTTACTATTGGTGGCAGAGCTTGAACACTTCACAGGAGTTTTGTGCTCTAATAGAAAGGACTGCAATTCAGCAGACTTGGTTCTAATTGTGGCTCTACTGCTATTCTCTAACCCTGGGCAACTGAAGTAATCTGTTTATGTCTCAGATTCATCCTTGTTTAAGTGGCCTTAATAGCAGCTGCACTACCTAATTTATAGGGCTACTGTGGAGGGGCGGTTTAAGCATGTTGAAAAGTCGCAAAAGCTAAACATATACACAGGCATCATTAGTGAGTGACACAGAATTAACAGGTGGGCTCATTTCTGCCCTGTAGCAGAATGAAGTCAAGGGCCAACTTTTTGGCCAGTTCTCTTTAAAAATTTCCCAGTGTGGTAGTCAGTGATAAAACTATAGTCTATATTGTTAAAAATCTTGATCAATTGTTTTAAAAAAGCATGTCTCCTATTCTTTCAAATAGGCATGACAACACCTCAGATATTATCTAGTAAGAGCACTTAAAACCATGGAAATTGGGCCAGTCAACACAAGAATTCTCATTTTTTAAATACTCTAACAAGGAGCCAGGAAAAAGGATTCTAGATGGGACCCACAGACCCCTGTGAACTATACTTCAAGGCCATTGTAATCAAAACAGCCTGCTATGGGCATAAGAACAGGCATATATATCAATGGGACACAACAGAGAGCTCAGAAATCAACCCATGCTTCTATGGTCAATTAATATCTAACAAAGGAGGCAAGAGACTACAATGGAGTAAAGATAGTCTCTTCAATAAATGGTGCTGGGAAAACTAGACAGGCACATGCAAAAAAATGAAACCAGACCACCAACTTACACTACACAAGACTGAATTCAAAATGGACAAAAGACTTAAATATATGTTGCAAAAACATAAAAATTCTAGAAGAAAACATAGGCAGTAAAACAGACATCTCTTGTAGCAACATTTTTACTGATATGTCTCTGAGGGTAAGAGAAACTCTGAAACATACACAAATGCAACGACATCAAGTTAAAAAGCTTCTGCACAGCAAAAATAAAATCAACAAAATGAAAAGAGAACTCACTGAATGGGAGAACATATTCGCCAATGATATATATGATAAGGGGTTAATTTCCAAAATATATAAATATACAATTCAACACCAGGAATACAAACAATCCCATTAAAAAAATGGGCGAAGGACCTGAATAGATGCTTCTCCATACAGGACATACAAATGGTCAACAGACATGCAAAAATGCTCAAGGTCACTAATTATCAGAGAGATGCAAATAAAAACTAGACCTAACATCTGCCGGAATGACTACTATCAATAAATCAATAAACAACAAATGCTGGCGAGGATGTGGAGAAAGAGAACCCTCGTGCACTGCTGGTGGGAATGCAGTCTGGTGCAGCCACTGGGGAAAACAGTATGAAGTTTCCTCAAAAAATTAAAAATGGAACTGCCTTTGACCCAGTGACCCCATTTCTGAGAATACACCCTAAGAATTCTGAAATACCAATCAGAATATATGTAACCCTATGTTTACAGCAGCATTTTTTATAATAGCTAAGACCTGGAAATAGCCCAAGTGCCCATCAGCAGATGAGTGAATAAAAAAGCTGTGGTACATTTACACAATGGAATACTATACGGCTGTAAAAAATAAGGAAGTCTTACCGTTTTTGACAGCATGGATGAACTTGGAAAGTATTATGCTAAGTGAAATAAGCCAGTTAGAAAAAGACAGATACCATATAATCTCACTAATACGTGGAATATAATGAACAAAATAAAATGAACAAAATGGAACCAGACGCATGAATACATGGAACAGACTGGCCAGTGCCCAAGGGGAGGGGAGTGGGTATGACTGGATAAAGAAGGTGAAAGAAATAGTTAAACAACATATATGCATACCCCATGGATACAAACAGTAATTTGGTAAAGGCCAAGAAAGGGGTAGGTGGGGAAGGGAGGAGGTGGACAAAAGTGAGGGGGAATGGGGACTCCTGAAATTATGTCAACACTAAAATTTGTTTTAATAAAAAAAACACTAAAATAAAAGCTGCATACATCTTGGTTGCGTTTGCTGTAACTAATGCATAATGTCTCTTAAAACACATTCAATTAATATGGAACATGAGAGTATTTAGATAAACAGTAGGTTGCAATGCAGTTGGATTGTGGGAAAAGCACAGAGAATGAAGAGAAAGCTTTACTAGAATGATAGTACCATTTCAGCACGTACTAACATGCATATTTCTTCCACAGATAATTGAAAACTGAATAGCCTTGGGAATGGCGTGGCTTACATCTCAGAAAATAAGTTAGCTTAGAAAAAAGTGAGCAGCATTAATAATGTCCCATTTCCGAAGGGGCTTGTTTCAGGACAGGTTAGCCTAAGCTACTGGAAATCCTGTCCATTGTCGAGGGCTCCACAAAGCACGTTTATTGCTTGTTATCTAAATAATAACACATTAGAAACATTATTTTTAAATGGTCACCTTTGCACCTCAACCTGTTTCTTACTTCATTTCTCTTCATATTACAACTGTCTACTTTCCTTACATAATAAGAAATGTCAAGGAATTCCCCAGATGGAGTTCTTTAGATTTAAAGGGGAAAATGTAGGAAGCCAGTTTCAACAGTGTCATACTTATCTATTCTTTACATTAAAACTGTGGCATACTTGTATTTTTAACAAAAAGCAGATGCTCTCCTGGTACCTTGAAATAACTTTAATCACACTAAGTACTGAGGCAGTATGGCTATTTCACATTCCCAAACAGGCCTAACAGTTCAGGCCTGAGCCCGTATGCAGGCGCTGCTGCCATATGTGACAGGGACAGTATAGTCAATTAAGAGGGCCCTAGGGAATTGCTCCCTATTATGTGAAGGTGAGTTGAAGATATCCTAATCTAACCAGTGAATTCTCCAGAACCTGTCTCTCAATCTTAGAGTGAGGTCACTAAATCTTATTCTGGTACTTCCTGTGACTTCTATATCCCAGGAAATGCTGCCTTTTTGCCTTTTCTTTTTCTTAACACCCCTTTTCTTTCTTATCTTCCCAATTCAGTCTGCCAAGAGGCTAGACATTTTAGCTCCCTATTCAGACCCGCTGTACAAAATGCCACAAGGTTGTGTGATCCCCACCACACTGGGATTTCATGCAAGTTTCCCTCACTGTCAGTCACATTTTGTTTCTGTATGTTTCTTAAAAGAGCAGCCATGTTTAATATTGTGAACTATGATGTGACTCCTCTCCCCACCCTCAAGAACAGTGATAAATTTCAGAGCACGCTCAGCAGAACTGGACTGCATTATGCACAGTACACATGTTCATCGCCAAAACTGTACTCGCCGGAATGTATGCAAGCAGAATGAATTGCTGAGACTTCAAAATCCCCGTTCCTCAGAACTGATTTTATTAGCCAATGTACACCAAAGATGGGTGGTAAAAGAAGTATGGTTTTCTTGCATCACTGAAGCCCTATGCTGTTAGACTGTAGCTTTCCAGTCTCTGCTTAAGCCTTGCCAGCCATGTGCTGCTGCAACACCAGAGACACAGCTTTGCAACCTGTCACCTCTTCCGGCAGGCAGCCATCCTGGTCTCGCAGAGTGGGGTCCGCGCCAGACTGGAGCAGCAGCTCCACGATGTCCAGAAACTCACAGGCAGCAGCTGACAGGGAAAGTGACAGACATGAAAACAAGGTTACTCAGAGACAGAGAGACTGGACTTCAGCAGGAGGGTCACGTGCTGGGCTGTGAGGAATCCAGAACGACGAGAACCCTTACAGTGGCTGTAGGGGGGATCTGGTCTTAGAAGCAGAACTGTGCCGGTACAGTGGACTTGTGAATGTTAGGAAAATCAAATTTACTTTTTTGGTTACCCAAAAGCAAACAAAGAAATACACTTTAAATTTTATTATGATTAAAAAAAAATCTTTTAATTGATTTTTTAAGAGAGAGAGTAAGGGAGAAGGGAGATAGACAAAGATAGATGAGAGAGAGAAACTGATCAGCTGCCTCTTGCATGCCCCCTACTGGGTATTGAGCTCGCAAACCCAGGAACACTGAGGACTGGCTGCTGTCTCACAGAAACAACAGAGGGTCAAACGCAGAGGCTGGGTTTCAATCGCACTGGACAGGGTGCCTGGAAAGCCACACTAAGAAGTTTGGAGTTAATAAGCTGGGGAGTGGCATAATTTGGCTTCTGTATTAGGATGATCATTCTATAAAGAGTGACCTGAAAGTCTAGAAATTTGTGGCAGCAGACCTATTAGGAGATTGTGGTAGTTCTTTTAAGGGGCTTGACATTAGCCAGTGTTAGCAGAAATATAAGAAGGGACTGAAAAAGAGAGCCAATGAAAGTCAAGGAGAAGGACATAGCAAAGTAGTTAAAAAATGTCAGTGTACACTAAATTTAATAATTAACAAAGCTGATATGTTATGTTAATAGACCCTTAAACATTTAATTATTTATATTTTGTAATTTTCTTTTTTTGTGGGACAAAAAACATTTTATTTCTAATATGTTTATAGGTTTTTGAAATGCTCATAGGCTCAAGGCCTATGATTATAATGTTTACTGAATAAAATGGCCAGAGTATTTCTACATTTGATATGAAACCCAGACACAATAAAGAAAATATATGTTAAATTTGAACGCATGGAAACCTAAAACTGATAAATTTGAACACATAAAAATTTAAAACAGCTATACCATACACACAAAAACACTATACATATACATAAACTGGGGAGGGACCGTGGGAGACATGCTCCAGAGCGTGTCTGGCCTGTCTTGCCCAGTCCCAATCCGCCGGCTACCAGTAGGAGCATCTGCCCCCTGGTGATCAGTGCATGTCATAACGACTGGTCAAACGAACGGTCGGACATGTAGTATATAAGGCTTTTATGATATAGGATCACAATCATATCTAATAATAGAGAAACATGGTAATTAACCGTAACTTCGCTACCCTTCCCATTGGCTAATCAACGAGATATGCAAATTAACTGCCAACCAAGATGGCGGCCTGCAGCCACGCAGCTGAAGTGAACATGAGGCTTGCTTGCTCCAGTGACGGAGGAAGCCAAGGTTCCCCGCCTGCCGCAGCCCAGCTCTGAGCTCTAGATGCAACAATGTTGTAATTATAGAAGCTAAACAAACCCAGATACCAGCCAGCCACAGCCTCAGAGCTGGAGCCGGCTCTCAGCTCCAGTGACAGCTATAGAAGGTAAATAAATCCCAGAATAAAAAAAAAAAGAAAAAAAAAGAGGCTGGAGCTTCAGTCGCCCGCCAGCCTAAAAACGGCCCTAAGCCCCTCACCAGGACTAGCCAGGCACCCCAGTGGGGACCCCCACCCTGAAGGGGGTGTGACCAGCTGCAAACAGCCATCAGCCCGTCATCCAGGCTGGCCAGGCACCCAAGCGGGACCCCCACCCTGAAGGGGGTGTGACCAGCTGCAAACAGCCATCAGCCCGTCATCCAGGCTGGCCAGGCACCCAAGCGGGACCCCCACCCTGAAGGGGGTGTGACCAGCTGCAAACAGCCATCAGCCCGTCATCCAGGCTGGCCAGGCACCCAAGCGGGACCCCCACCCTGAAGGGGGTGTGACCAGCTGCAAACAGCCATCAGCCCGTCATCCAGGCTGGCCAGGCACCCAAGCGGGACCCCCACCCTGAAGGGGGTGTGACCAGCTGCAAACAGCCATCAGCCCGTCATCCAGGCTGGCCAGGCACCCAAGCGGGACCCCCCCCCTGATCCGGGACACCCTTCAGGGCAAACCAGCCGGCCCCCACCCGTGCACCAGGTCTCTATCCTATATAGTAAAAGGGTAATATGCAAACTGACCCTAACAGCAGAAAGACTGGGAATGGCTGGTCACTATGACACACACTGACCACCAGAGGGCAGCTCCTGCATTGAGTGTCTGCCCCCTGGTGGTCAGTGTGTGTCATAGTGACCAGCCATTCCCAATCTTCTATCTATATAAAAGCCTAAGCGACTGTCTGACCGGTAGCGATGATGCATGATGACCATCAGGGGGCAGACGTTCTGACTGATAGCTATGATGCACACTGACCACCAGGGGGCAGACGCTCAAAGCAGGAGCTGCCAAGCTGTGGTAACTTGGCAGCTGCAGTTCTTGGGTGACGCACCTGGAGCCAGATTCCAGGGTATGTCACCTGAGAACCACCCTCTTGAAATCTGGGACCTCTCTGGAGATGTCGGAGAGCTGGTTTCAGCCCATCCCCGCAGGCCAGGCCGAGGGACCCCACCTGTGCACGAATCTGTGCACTGGGCCTCTAGTTTTATTATAATTTACTACGGGCCCAGTATACAAATTTGTGCACCTTGAAAGGAACCGTGGGCTGCGAGGCTGTGGTGGGCACAGGGGCAGGTCTTGGCTCATCCTCCATGCCCCTGCCCGGCCCCTCCTGCCGCGGCCCCCAGTCCCATCTGCCCGCAGCCCCGCTCCCATCGCCACTGCTCCCACGCACTGACAGCGCTGGCCCTGCTTGAACCTGCTGACGGCACAGAGCGATTGGGGCCGGCACCAGCAGCAGATGTGAGTGGGGCTGGCGCCTTCAGCGGGTGCGAGGGGTGGCTGCTGCCCCAATCGCCCTCAGGAGCAGATGACGCCGAGCACTGGCAGCGGGTGTGAGTGGTGGCTCTGGCACTGGCTGCGAGTGGGGCTGGTGCTGGCAGCAGGTCTGAGCGCCGGGCGGGACCACGGCGCGGGGGAGCAAATAATTTTCAGTAACCACCAGAGGCTTGCCCCAATGACAGCGACTGGCACCCTGCCTTGGTCTGGTGATCCCGCTCACCTGCTCCACCATCCCGCCGTGGCCAATGCCTGCCATGTTCTGTACAGTGCCGCCTGCTGCTGACGCCCACCATGTTCCGTGTACGCCCCCTGGTGGTCAGTGCATGTCATAGCAACCAGTTGTTCCACCGTTTGGTCTATTTGCATATTAGGGTTTTATAGATATAGATTATTCTTTTTGTATATTGCTGGGTTTGATTTGCTAACATTTTATTAAAGATTTTTGCTTCTATATTCATGAGTGATACTGGCATATAGTTTTCTTTTCCTAGGGTCTTTTCTGGTCTTGGTATTAGGGTAGTGTCGGCCTTGTAGAATGAGCTGGGCACTGTTCCCTCACCTTTTATTTTCTGGACAGTTTGTGTGTAGAATTGGTATTATTTCTTCCTTAAACATTTAGTAGAATTCATCAATGAAGCAATCAGGTTCTGAAGATCTTGATGTGGGAAAGTTTCTGGCTACAAATCAATCTCTTTAATAAATGTAGGGCTATCTAGGGTACCTATTTTTTTTGAGAGAAATAGTTTATATCTTTTGGTAGTTTGGGTCTTTTCAGAAATTTGTCCATTTATGTTATCTAATTTATTGGCATAAAATTGTTCATAATGTTCCCTTATTTGCTTCATAATATCTGTAGAATCTATGTTGATATTTTCCTTTCATTCCTCAAATTGGTATTTTCTTTTTAAGACCTTTCAGTTTTATTGAACTTTTTAAAGGTTTCATTGATTTTCTCATGGATTTTTTTTTGGTTTTCTATTTTAATGATTTTAATGATTTCTTCTCTGATCTTTATTATTATACTAGAGGTGTACATGGGTGGGGTCCCTGGGCCTGGCCAGTGATCAGGGCTGATTGGGGCCGTCTCGCCCATTCCCAATCAGGCCCGATGGGGGCCGGCCGGCCGGGGAGGGACTGCAAGAGGGTTCCAGGTTGTGTCCGGCCCGTCTCCCCCAGTCCTGATCAGCCAGACCCCAGCAGCAAGCTAACCTACTGGTCGTAGCATCTGCCCCCTGGTGGTCAGTGTGCGTCATAGCGACTGGTCGAGAGGTCGACTGATTGGTCGGACACTTAGCATATTAGGCTTTTATATATATAGAAGATTCCTATGCTTATCTTGGACTTAATTTGTTCTTCTTTTTCTAATTTTTTTAAAAGGTAGAATCTTAGATCATTGCTTTGAGACCTTTATTCTTTTCAGTAAAGTATTTAATTTCCGTCTAAACACTGCTTTTAACTGCATTCCACACATTTTGATAGGATATTTTCATTTTCATTTAGTTCAAAATATTTTCTAATTTCCCTTGATATTTCTTCTTTGACCTATGAATTATTTAGAAGTGTATTTAAATTTTTTACAATTGGGGATTTTCCAGATGTGTGTCTGTTATTAATTTCTAATTTAATTCTGAGGTGGTCATAGAGCAAACTTTGTACAATTTCTTTTACATTTGTTGAAATTTGTTGTATTGCCTAGAATATGGTCGATCTTGGCAAAGTATTCCATGTGTACTTGAAATAATGTTTATTCTATTTATTAGATGGAAAGGTCTATAGATATCAATTAAGTCAAGTTGATTGACAGTACTGTTCAAATCTTTCATATCCTAGCTGAATTATTATCTACTTGCTCTATCAATTACTGATTTATTGCTTGACAAAGGGTTGTTTTTTTCCCTTGCTTTTTTGTGTCTCATAATTTTTGATTGAATGCAGAACACTGTGTTTAGAAGGACAGTGGAGGCTGCAGTAAATAATACTATTTACCCCAAGAAATGATTCCTCGTCTTCTCTCATGCCATTAGTATGGGTGTTGATTAAATCTAGTCAGCAGTTGAACTGGATT